CGTGCGTGCGTGCGTGCGTGCGTGCGTGCGTGCGTGCGTGAAAGCATGTGGACGCGTGGGCGCGTAGTCGCGCTCGACGGGAGACGACGATGGTTAACGACACCGTCCGAGTGTATCGCGTTTAAATAGCCGTAGGTATTTAAACACGTGTCGTGGGTTAAAAGTAATCGAGTCTCCCAAAACGAGACACACTTGAAAATCCGTGGGGACCTTTTATCGTTCGATCTGCCCCCTTTCCCCTCTCCCTCATTTATATTTTTTTCTACTCATTTATATGTTTTTGTATCTCATCTTTATTTCAGCAACGATATGTAATAATTGATAATAATCAGTTGGAAATGACTTTAACCATGCGCAAAACACGAAGAAGATAATATTTGAACAGCGCTTGTGGAAAAACTGGCGAAGAATCTGATAAGAGTCTCAAATCACTTGATCACTTATGGGGGGGTACCTCTAATAAGCGACGCATTTGCTCCGAACTTTCTCGCGTTATCGTTCCTGTTAATCGGACCTCTGTCTCGCGCGATATCGCCTTATCGGGATTTTCCTTCGAAGATCGGCGTCTGACCTGTGTTGACACTAGAACCGTGACAGTGAACGACCTATTTCTACCGGAGCGGTCGAGGTGACAGGTATTTGAAAGAATGCGCGATAGCAGGGAAACGTATTTCTGTGTTTTTTCATTATTTCTACTCGCGACAGAGCGTCGCTTTTGAGAGTATAAATAACGAGTACGTCGTTACGAGTTTGGGCAATTTTTCGGATAAATCGGCCCAAAAGGCTCGCTTGGGCGATCCTTTGGTGCACAGAAAAGGAGAGACCTCCAGTGCGCGCAGCTGAGCAAAGATGAGAGGAAGAATCGAGAGGAAGAGATTCGTCCGAGCGTTCAACTGTATGAAAATTCCGCCGAGACAAATGAGATGGAGGCTTCCAGGGGGATCTTTCTGCTCCTGCGCAAGCGAGTTTTCCCCTTGACTCCCCAGACTCGTTCGTCTCCCAGACGGCGGCAAAATTCAGTCGTTAGACAAACTGCTTTTTCCCCCCGTTGTAGTTGTAGTATCAATCATGCGGCTCGCGTTCGTTTGCGACGACGCGCTGCGCTGCGCGCTGGCGCGCCGTGCAAACATCCTTTCTCGCGCGATGTTACAAGGGGGAAGCCGCGTAGTACGCGCAGCTGCAGGTGCACACGACGCACAGGTGTCTGTGCGTCGCCGACGCGCGTAAAAGAGAGCGGAGAGCTCTCTCGCGGGGCGGCGGGGCGGGACGGGATGGAACGGAGCCGTAGTCACATGCCGGAAAATGTCAACCACGTGCATGTGCACGAGGTGCTCGCCGTATAATCCGTCTTAACGTGACTCCGCCGCGCCGGCCGTCGTCGTTGCTGTAAGAGACACGAAGCGATAAAAGAACGCTGCCGTCGCCGCGGCCGCGGCCGCGGCGGTGGTTATGCAATTCGCACGTTACCTCGAGTTCCTCCTCGTCTTGGACAGTGGAGGTGTGCGGGATTCGGCAGCGATTTTATACAGGGCGTACTCGAACTCTGCCGAAGAAATTTACTTTGGGGATTTGCTGAGATCCTGTGTTGAAAAATATGTGGAAAAAGTCCTGGCGAACGTATGAAACCGCGAAATGTTGATTTTTCAAGCATAGTCTCCGGAGGATGTGATAACAGCGCAAGAAAATATGTCGTGATAAGATGCTTTTTTTATTTGTTACTCGGAAGATAATACCTATCAATTTTGATAATTTCTGAATATTAACTGAGGAGTCACTCGGTATGTATCGTTGGTGTGCCGTTTGTTGCGAATAATTGAAAGATAATATTTGCGAAAAATTAAAAAAATATTATCTCCTCTTGACGTCTCGATGGATGTGGCAAAACTTTTGAACAATTTCTATATGTATGTGACGTATCATCACTCGTTCGTGTAAGACACATTTAATAAATAAATAAATATATTTTTGAAAAACTAAGGTTATGCGGCAACTGGATGTCAAAAAGTGAATGTTCGAGGACATGCATTTACCGAGACTTTTTTACTTATATCTTTTTATGTTTACAGAATTTATATTGCGAGTTTATCGATGAAGGTCAGATACATCCCGTATAATTCATTGATGCAAAACTTGTATTTTTCATTACCGCTTCACACGACGCTTATATTTGCCACGCGGAATAACGAAATGCGAAACGTGATTTTTACCAGACATCTTGACCGCGGTAAACGGTAAATACGGTAACAAAAAACAATACAGCGAAAAACGTGATTGATCTGATACAAATGCAATGATTACTTCAGTACGGTGTATATTTATTGCATAAATGGAATTAAAAAGATACTGGGCTTTCCAGGCTCTTTCTCCGCGAGCTTCGTTCTTGCGAATCAGAATTTTGATGGTGTCTACTAGAAGCTTTCGACGCGGCGATTCACATCTAGCGTGAGATTCACATCTGGATATTTTTCTTCGACATTGTCTTATTTATAGTGACTCTCTCTCTCTCTCTCTCTCTCTCTCTGCTCTGCTCTGCTCTGCTCTGCTCTTCTCTCCCGCCCCGTCGCTCTCGGCGGTTTTCTCCTCCCGCCTCTCTTCTCCGTCGCGCGAGGAAGCCCCGTGCTATTCTTTGACGACGGAGATCAATCTCGCGTCGCGGCACGCGTTCGGTTCACGAGCGTGCGATATCGACGAGCTCGTCCTTGAACTCCCGCACGAGCGAATGCGTTCGTCGGTAACACAATAGCGATCTCATTTTGTCGCAGAGACGCCGGGGGACGATCGGTCGTGAATAAATGGCCGGGAAATATTGGTAAACCAAAATAGTGAAGTCCACGGTAAAACAGAATCGCGTGGGTTGCTCGTTCGATTAATATTCAATAATTTCACCGGACTCGGTCCGTCTTCGAACTCGAGGCACGTGTTTCCGATTCCGATCGTCGTGGAGGGTAAGCGTTCGGTGTTGTTCACTTTATTCGCGAAAATCACGAGTCCTTGAAAATCTCGTTCTCTGCTTAACTCGAGAGATAGACACGAGCAACTTTTTGCATCCGCCTCGTACCATTTCAACTTGAATTACTTTGAAGGTACCACAACATCATACTTAATTATTCCGAGAAGTCGATCCGACGCGTGAACCCACATTCGATTTACGTTATTACAATTCGAAGGTCAGTCGTGGACGAATATCCGAAACCGCGACGTCATTTCAACTTGCACACACAACAGCGGGCTAGTTAAATATTCGTAGCACTGAGAGGAAACTTCGACTCGCGCGTGGCGAACGCGCACAGCGGCATTCGAGACCGCGATCGCACGGCTCTACCATTGCGAACGGCACACATCAATTATTAGCGGGCGAATGAGGCTCGATCGCTGATAGCTTATTAAGCGGATTAGCCAGCGACCTTCCGACTTGTCTTGCAGAAATTACGACGTATCTGTGCCACGGAGCGGAGGGAAAGACCGGCGCGGAACCCTTTAACCCCCCCCGCCCGCCCTCGTCCTGCACCCTCGGCCGCGGCTCGTTGAAAAATTCACGTGGAGCAGCGACGGCGAGCCCTCAACGCGAGCCGTCGCTGCCCCGCACGAGGCGAGGGAAACGGTGTCGCCGTGCAATTTTCATAAGCAACGACATTGCCGGGCTTATCAATAATGCGCGGCGCCTCGTGCTTTTTCCGTTCACTCTATTTACAGCGGAAAATCTATAACGGGGCAGGGGACACGCGCGGGGTTATTGACTGAAACATTCGTGCCGACGCGCGTTACGTAAGCGGCCGGGGCCCGCACGGGGTGCGTTTAACCCCGCGCGACGCGGGGCGCCTCGCGAGTGATGGGTATACTCGCGGCGAGACTAACGTTTCCCCTCTCTCGTCTCCGCAAGTCAAAGTGTATGTGTATATGTACAGGGAGTTATCAAAGCCTGGGGCCGCGTCCCTTACCGTCCCGAGAGTGTATTGACGATTGTATGCGCAAGCTTGCGATTTTTAATTTGTAAGCGACACCTTATAAGCGGTCTTATGATTTTCGACCTAAATATACGATTCGCGATCTTTTATACGCACGGAGGCAAAAGACTGCGAGGTGCGATTCACGTGATAGTGAATCAGACCGTTTTGTGGAGAGAGATTTTCCTCTCCTTCGTAAAACCGATTTTGCTTCGTGGGAAGTAAAAGCGGTTTGGCTCGTTCATCGTCAAGCCTTTGTTAACCCTTTGAGGTACGTATTTTTCAGAAAATCCGAATCACAATTTATACACGAAAATTTATACACGGGGGTTTCTGGGGTCGCTGATGACGAATCCGTTGTCAGATTTTCAAAATTCAAAATGACGGCCACAAATATGGAAAATCGCGATAATGTGGAATCCGCCATCTTGGAAAATGAATTTTAGAATGTCTAGATCTCAGATTCGTAATCAGCGACCGGAAAAATCTTCAAATCTTGATTTTGAGCAAAAAATTCACTCATAGTTCGTGGAAAATTATTTTCTGTAAAAATGTGTATTTTTCACACTTTGTTTATTTATAATAAATGGACAACTTGCGCAAAACACTTTTCAACCTTTCATGTATGTTCCCATATCCCGTGTACTTAAGAAGCTAAAAAACGCAAAAATCCGACAAGAATCCCTCAAATATGAAATATTTCATGAAAATGTGAGAATAAATAGGTGGTGAGTATACTTACCATTATGCCTCAAAGCGTTAACTAGACCAAACTTCTTTCTCGTGCGTATAAGCGTAAAGCTAGAAATTGTTTATTCGCGACCTCTAGAGGGTCCGATAATAATGCGCTGTCAACGTTCACGACTGCCCTATTGAACTGAATTTTGAGCTTGTCACGCATATAGGAGATTGAGAAAGAATATCCAGAGTTCTTTCCAAGAGTAAGACATTTGTTAAATCTTTCTCCCAGAGCGAGCGTGCATACCAGGAGTAAGTTAACTTTTGCTAATTTTGACTAACCGCAGCTCAATGCAATTGATTTCGTTTGCTTTTCAGTTTGGACGGTAGATCCTGCAAGGACGAAATCTACAGGATGGGCATCGGAGGCACGTATAGCGAAGGCAATTTGAACTTCGCTACGGCCTCGGAGGATGACGAAGTTTACACGAAGAAGAAGGTCTCCAGGGTGAGTCACATAAGCTCGTTTTATGCACGATCGCCTCCATAACAAGCACTTTCGTGTCGATCGCGGCGAAACATTGAGTAACACAGGCGAATACTTGGTATTTTGTTTCTTTGTGCCGGCCGCTGTATCTGTACCTGTACCTGTGTCTGTCCGGCTCCTTGATTTGTCGCGTTCTTTCACAATGTCGCGTGTATACGTGCGCGCGAGCGAACGTGTCCCCGTTCTCTCATCAGAAAACTACGACGGAGCGACGCGAACGAAAAGAGGATCCGATCAACCCTCCGACAGACGTAATATCTGACAGGGGATGCAGTTTCATATTTCAAATTTCTATATCTTTCGCGGTATACGACGGGTATGCAGCGAGATCTAAAATATTATGCATATATTAACACACACACACATATACACATACTTAGAGATATTTAAAAGATCAATTTTTTTTGTAAAAATAATTATAAATATTTATATATATATATATATAATTATTATTATATATTATATATTATGGTACGTTACTGCTATATATTTATATATAAATTATATAATTATATTTACAATTATATTTATGGAAAGAGTCAAGTCAATTCTTTGCATACATAACAATGTTATATGTATACAGGATGTCCGGGATTTTTTGGAAGAGAAAACTTGTGAAGATTAATCAAATCAAACTGAGAAGAAAAGTCATGTACTATTTTGGAAAAATCGTAAATATTAAAATCGTAAGTTAAGTTATTAATAATTAAAAATAACTATATCTACAGGCTCTTTTAATTGATAACTTGAAAATTTGCGTATTTGTTTGCAAAATGGTAAGGGACTTTTTTGTTCAGAATGACCTAATCTACGTACAATTGTACGACGGTTATTGTGTCTAGATATAAGTATATTGTACTTCAAACCCTGAATCTTGAATCTGTCGCTAGGCACAATAGTCGTCATATAATCGTAGATTAGGTCATTCTGAACAAGTGTCCTCTTTGCAAATAACTCTACGCAAAATTTCAAATTATCGATTAAAAGAACCGCTAGATGTGGTCATTAATAACTTAATATAATAACTATTGCGATTTTTGCAAAATGGTACTTGACTTTCTTTTTTTTTTCAGTTTGATCTGATTAATCTTCACAATTTGTCGTTTCCAAAAGATCCTGGACATCCTGTATATATATATATATATAATGTCGCGCAAAAGAAGCGCGTCTATTGAGGGGTTAATAAACGGAGTCGAGCAGACTTTGAAAGCAAAGCCGAGTCTCGTCTTCCATCTTCGCGCGAACCCTTGATTCGCCTTACCCCCGTGATTCTCCCTTTCTCGCGGCCGGCGGCGGTCAAGCGACCGGAAGAGCGCGCGCTCTCCGAAATCGGAGTACGAGAAATCGCGGGCCGCGCGTGATATTTAGGCCACCGCGCTGCCGTCGCGGAGAAAGGTTTTCCGTGTTGTCGAATCAGCGCGGGTGACGCAACGACGTGTCGGCGACGAGGACGGCAGTCACGTCGCGTCCCGAAAACGACGAGGCGATTGTGACACAGCGCGATCGGATACACACACACGCGCGCGCGCGCGTGGCTACGTCGCAGACGCCGAGGCGTGCCAAATTCTTATCATCGACCAGCGCGACGTGTCTCGGCCGCGTTAACCCGTTCAATTCCGTATCGTACGTTTCACGTGTTAGAAGCCGAGAAAAAGAAAACATCTCGGTGTTTTATCTTATCTGCTGCTTTCCGTGCTGCTTGCTCGACAACGCTCGGCCGTCGCGCACTGATTTTCACTGATTATTTCGCAGCTTGACGGAAGTTTTTACTAACCAGTGATATGGTGAATAAAATGCAATACGCGACGCACACGTCGTGTGCCAGCTCGTGTAATTAGCCGTGTATTTAGTTTATTATTTTTTTTACGACTCGTATCTGGAGTATTCGACGTCCAGCTCGTACGTTCGTCGTACAGTCGGTTGGCTAAAGATTGCAACACTTTTTCGCTTTTTCATCGAGCAACAGTGTTGCAATCTTTATAATCAGTCGGCTGTGCAGATGCATGTAGAGCTTATGAAACTGAATGAGAAAGTTTTGTGTTATTTTGCAAACAAGCATGATAAATTTGGAGAGACTTTTGGTTACATAGAGGAAACCGGCGAATCTATTAGCGAAATGTGTCTCGAGCCATCGACAATCTCTCGGCGATATATTCATTCCTTGAATGGAACTTCTTCCAAAGAGCACATTCTACTGCATCACGTGCATTTATTCACACTGATATTCTTTAACTCTTTGTATCCTGAATTAATTTACCTAAGGCCTTGTTAAATTTTTGTTGTAATTAAATAGCTTTTGGCATATTGGCAAACATAAGGAATAGGAAAATAAATTTTTGTCACAATTTGACGATTAAATTTTAAGATGGTATTTATAGATACTGACAGAAATATAGAGTAAGACACAGAAAAGAAAGTTTAAAAACATACGAGCGTTTATACACAGAGCGGTATACTTTTGAATACCGTCAGGATATAAAGGATTAACAGTTAAATAATTATTGTTTTTAAAATGATACAAGGGCCATACCTCGTATATGAAGCGAACGCTAAATATGTATTTTTTATCCTGAAGTTGGGACGAATTTATACATGACGCTCGTATAAGTGAAATCAAAGTTGAAATTAAAAAGGCGTGTACATCAACGCATTCGGTTGGATTTTCGTTCCAACGATTGTTGGATGTAGCCTCTACCTGCACATGCACACACGTACGCATCGCGTCACACACACACACACACACACACACTCTATGTACATCTAAATTAAGGAAACGCGGCGGTATCGCAACGCCGGTATCATCGATGATTCCTCGTCTCTCCCCTCCATGGGTAGTCGTCAACATGTTAATTACGTATAGAGGTTACGATAAGGTGACCGATAAAGCCGAGTCAACCGAGTTGCGTGGATGTTGTAAGCGTGAAGGTACGTGCGTATCGCACAGGGAAACGGAAAGGCCAGATTAAAGACTGAAGTTGGATTTTATCGTGACGATAAAGGAGCCGCGCGCGCAGATGTTTACGTGAAATGAACGTGCGTTTCGACTTTGCCGAGTTTTCGCGCGGCTCCCTATTGAAATGCGCGTATATATATTTGCGAATAAACATCCGCGGTCTCCGCACGGTGCGTATATCGTATCTCGATGTACAAGGGCGCTGCGCTGCGAGAGGAGCACGTCATATTTCATTATCTACGTCATTGTATTTATAGTCCGTGCTTTTTATAGTAGTGATAAGCGTAGCCTATAATGGAATAATAATGGCTGACGCGATGTTTCCGCCGTTACTTATGGTACGTCTAGTTACGTATGTTGTATTTACTATCTACATACATCCGGGATCTTTTGGAAACGGAAAATTGTGAAGATTAATCAGATCTGAAGTGAATTAATCAGATCAGAAACTGAGAAGAAAAGTCATGTACCATTTTGCAAAAATCGTAATAGTTATGAAGTTATTAATGATTGAAAATAACTGTATCTACAGGCTCTTTTCATCGATAACTTGAAAATTTGCCTATTTGCAAAATAGTAAAGGACTTTTATGTTCAGAGTGACCTAATCTATAATTATACCAGACGGCTATTGTGTCTAGCGATAGATATGAGTATATTGAACTTTGAACCTTGAATCTGTCGCTAAGCGCAATAGTCGTCGTATAATTGTAGATTAGTCATTCTGAAGAAAAAAATTCTTTATCATTCATTTTGCAAATAAGTATGCAAATGTTCGAGTTATCAATTAAAAGAGCTTCTATTCGTGATCATTTTTAATCATTAATAATCTAATAACTATTGCGATTTTTGCAAAATGTTATTTGACTTTTCTTCTCAGTTGGATCTGATTGATCCTCACAATTTTTCTTTTCCGAAAGATCCCGGATACATATATATACGTATATATTAGTATATAATATGTGTGTGTGTGTGTATATTACACACGCACACATATCTATGTACGATGACTCCGTACGCGCTGAATATCACTTCCGCCTGGATATTCCGGGTAATAACAACGTCCAGCGGCGTATTATACGCACACACAGTACGTTTTGAATTCGTCGCACACAATAACGAGACGTCATCGTGCACTGTGACGTTTTGTGTATCGTGACGCATCAAGCGTACGGTACGTACATCTCGACTGAATAAAATAAAAAAAAACATTGTTTATTAATGTTAATATATGAGTTTATTAATGTTTTTATACGAGGTATGAATCGTTATTAATATTCTGTTTTTATCTTATTCATTCGAAATTTTGACGTTACCCCCACTCTATCCTTGAAGGGGGATGAATGAGGACAAGCCTTGACACAGATTCGAAGGCCGCTAGGATCTGCGAAATTCGAGACCAGAATGATTATAAAATTGACCGCGTAGTTCTCGGGATGTTAAGCTTCACGTGGACCACCGATCTGTATATAATAAAAAGGAACACGCTGTGTTCCGGCCGTGTAAACTCAGCGGGGACTTTATCCTGACCGGCGATCGGCCCGTGAGATTTCTCCTTTTTCCTTCGTGTCGCAATCGGCCGCTCTTACCGAGCCGTCGGGACACTTGTCCAGGAAGTAGTTCGGAAGCGTGACTACGTGTCCTCCTCGAGATGCTGCGATGATTACGGGTCCGAGTTAGAAAGGTACTGTCCGTCTATCCTTCCTTCCTTCTCGGTGACGCTTGACGTACAATTCACGACGTCCAAGAGAAAGCAGCGTGTTCCAGGAATGAGCAGAATTCGTCGCGCGAATAGAAGAGAACGCTCGCTTCGTCTCGTCTTGTCTATCTTTATTTCGCGTATTCTCGACGAATTCTCGAGGATCCTTTCGTCCTTCGGAGCCACCGCGATTCCGCAACGAAGACAACGAAGCACGAACGAATAGCCGGTTTACATTCGCCATCCCGTCTATCGACTTTCGCAAACGCGATTGCGACGTAGACTACTCGCCGAATAATTTTATTTTATT